CAAGTCTGGAGACTTGCCACACACGCTAGATGCAACAGTGCTGTGGTGGCAAGGAAGAGCTTACAGTGAGGTTCCCCCAGGAGGTATCAGAGCCCCTGATGGTCTCCTTCCCACCAGCTGCTAGGCAGTACTTTGTTTGACCTCTGGGTGCCAAAAAAATGCTTGTGCTCGCAGAGCAGATAAGATCCTAGGTGGAAGAATAAGGTGGCCACAATGGGTTTACCAGAGGGGGATATCAAGTATTGCCCAAAATGACGCCTGGGAGAATGCTGGAGGAGGGAAGTGCCCCATCCGGGCATCCAGAACCCAGGAAAGCAGGCACTTGGGGTGCAGGTTTCCTTCTCTTGGAACAACAACCGAAGGAGGGGGAGCAAGAAGGGGCAACCAAGGGTCCCTGTGAAACAACAGTGGGCAGATAGAGACATCTGGCAGTATGTCTGGAAGCATGCCAATATGGGAGTAGACTGGCTGCCAGTGCAGCACTTACCAAAAAGCTGAAATCAAAGGGAAAAAAAATCCCACACAAATAAACAAGCAAAGGACTTACTTACAGTTTTCTAATATAAAAGCACCAATAAGGGTCAGGTCACACAGAGCCTGGAGAACCATTGCCTATGTGCTCAGTGGCAGGCATCTCCGTTTTCCTGGTTTTGTGCTCCCTATATGTCTATTGTTTTAACAGCAGATTGGAAAAGCAGTGCAAGAAAGTTGATCTTCCCTCTTTCTCAATAACCTCCATTGCTCTCTGTCTGCTGCCAAGGGGAACTGAATAGTTAAACAGGGGTGAAATATAGGGGGACTGGCATAGCACACAGTGCAAAAGCAAACTTGTTTCACCAAAGGACTGTTTGCGAGGTCCAGCCATGCCAACAATAGCCTTCCTTCAAGTTCACCTTGTAATGCAGAGAGAGGAGGCAACTTGCAGCCCTCAGGGAGGGCGAGCAACGGAGGGGTGGGAGATGAGGATGGGAACAGAGTAAAGAGAGGCAGAGAGGCAGAGAGGCAGGGGAGGGAGGGAGGGAGGGAGGGAGGGCGGGTGGGTGAAGGTGGAGGAAAAAAGAGAGTGCAAATCCAAGTGTCGATTTGTAGACACAGTGAGGAGAGCCTGCTGGCTGACAGGCTGATTTATTGGATTCTTCCAGTTAATCACTGCCGGCCTGTGGCCAAACGGATCTCCAGCAAAGCTGAAAGGCAGCTGAGGGAAACAGGTTTATAAGCATAAAGCCACATAATGGTGTTCAATGAAGTGTGAGACTTTTAGTTCAGTCTCAGTGAGCCAGCCGCATTGCCGGAATGTCAAAGAGGGATTGTGGGTGGAAAAATTATGGATTTAAACTGCTAGCTGTAAATGAGGTCAATATGTCTGGTTCATAAACAGTCCGAGGCTATTCCAAGAATGCAGTGAGGGGGAAAATTAGCGTGAAGCCAACACTGTAGACAAACCTCATTGAGATATAATTGGAGCTATAAATACAAGTGAAAAGCTTACTGAGTGCAATAAAATATAGACACAGTTTTTTATCTCCCTCTCCCCACATATTTCCTTCTTTCAATCTATGCATTTGTTAAGTGTTGTGCATCTATAATGTTCCCCCCCTCCACCCTCTTCTTTTCCCCGACACCCAGTGTTGAAATTAATTGAGTGTTCTTGATCTCCCATTCCATTTTATTCGGGTAAGATTGGAAAAAATCAAAAGAGCACATCTAAAGTGTTTTCTTCCCTTTTGCTTTTCTATTTGAATCAGGTTGAAATGTGTTAAAAAAAATGCAATGTGACTTTTTTATATTTTAAAAAATGCGGTAAAATGTCTTTTAAAATGAATACATCTGTTAGATCATTTGAATCTCAATTTAATGAGGTGAAATCAAAGGCAAGTATTGAATCCTATGGAGAGTCTCTTTTGTGAGTTACCTGGTCTTTGCTCATGAAACATTGACTTTAAATAATTGTGATGTTTCAGATTTTCTTTTTTTTCTCCCTGTAGGCCTTTTATTACTGTATGGTGGGGGGAGGCAGTAGCACCAAAGGAAAAGAGGACAGACACTGAGCAATATGCTTTACACAGTTTAAAACTGATACAGTAATAAATTGAAGTCTAATGGCTATGGTTAGGCTGTTTTTCCCCCTAAGCCAATTGATTTAAATGGCAGTAATTTGGCTAGCAAGGCTAGTCCTGTTTAAATTAAACCCATTAATATAATAGCACCAGTCTTGAATTAAATCCATCTGTAGCAGAGCCTCCATCGGTCAGTGGTTTAATAACTGTCCAGGGATGTCCTGAAAACACCCACATTCATACTAACAGGAATAAGAGTTTAAAACCAGGATCCAGAAAACCTCCTGTTTCACTTGGATGTAAGAAGCAGATATCTGTTATAGTCAGGGAGGGGAAAATAAAAAATCTTTATTCTTCTTTTAGAAACACAATATGCAATTTCTTTATGTATGTTTTTGCAAACTTCTGCCCCTCCCACACCTATTCCTCACTCTGGCAAATACTTTTAAATTTGTTGGCCTGCTGATCTATACACGTGTTGACCAATGTAAAGTTTCAGAAAACACTGAAATGTATCTGAGGATTAGCATCTAATACAGAAAGTTTATTCTTGGCAGAGGCCTTCGCAATGTGGTTAAGATTGATCTTTTAATGTCCTCCCCCCTTGTTCTTGATTCCCACTGTGGCAGGCTGCTATGTACTGTGAGGCAACTTCTTTCCTTACTTGAAGGACTATGCAGGATTCTCCTCGGACCTATTTAATGTCAAGCCTTGCCTGGGGGAACTAGAGGGTGCAAGTCTTCCACTTTAAAGAAAGCATCTTTGTGCTTCAGTCTCACCTTTGTGAGATCAATGGCACCTTCAAAGTAGTTCTTTTGAAAACTGCCTTATAGTTTTCTCTTTAACAGGCATCTCCACCGTATAAAAAAGACTGAGTTTATTCTATATTTTGCTTGGCTGTGTCTCACTGACTCACTTATCGTTTTAAGCTATGGTTCATCGTGTTGGACGTCAGTCAGCTTCAGGTAAACTTGTTTGCTTCACTGGACAGGAGATTAGTGTTGAGACTCACATGTAATAAATGTTATATTTTTGTCTGAACTTAGGTTTGCATTTCGCAGTAGAGGGAATGAATGCTGTTTAGGACGGCATAGTACCAGATATATTCTGTATCCTTTTGTGTACATAGCTGAAGAATCCAGATCTTAGAATGCACTCCCAGTTTTTAGTAATTTTCCACAATGCCCTGCCTCAACATCTCTGTGCAGACAGCAAAAAAAAAAAAAGACTGTTTCACTGTTGCCTGCGGCAAATGATCCACCAGTAATTCTGCCCCATAACCATATGCTCCTCTGGACTAAAAAGAATGAACAGCACATCCTCAGCTTTTTCCCAGATAGTACACATGAAGCTGCCTCGATTTAAGGTTGCCTGACACTTTCCATTACGAGTCCCTGCTTTCAGCCACTTACCATTTTATTCAACTGAACACAAAATTTCTGTGTGTCTATGAACACTTATGCATGGTAAAAGATGGTGAGGTCTAGAGGTTTTGCCATTCAGAATGTACTATACTTTTGTGAGCATAAAATTGTGCCCTTTTACTTTGTCCAGGCTACAGAAAGCTATGGGAACTACATTAGTCATACGCTTAGGTCAGACAAGTTTTGCATGTGTAAAGTGTTCAGAGATACAGAATGTAAAAATCACTGGGACAAATTTTTAAGTGTTTAGCAGGCTTGGTCTGTCGATGCTGTCCTTGACCAGACACATAACAGTGTGAATGGAAAGCCCTGATAATACTTCAGCATTGCAAAAAGCCCAGTTTAATATGCAGGAATCAGAGGCAGAATTTACTAGCTTGGGTTCAGTCCTGCACAAAATTTCCAGTCAATTGAGAATTTGTGCAGAGCAAACCCGTACCTTCAAGAAACAGACCATGAGGACGTAGCCTTAGACCGTTACCTTAAAGAAGAAAAGACAATTAATTAGATTGAGCAAAAAATAATTGAATTCAACATATGATCTTATCCCAGAATGGTCACATAAATAAATGCTTCCACATTCTCACAATGCAGGACTCCTCAGTCAGGTCAGAAGTTCTTCTATCCTGCAGCAAAGCTGTTCTTAAAGAAATTACCTCAGTCAACATCCAGGTATACATTTCCAGACACATTTCAGTTGAAAAGTCAATGTGACTTTTCAGATCCTTAGAAAAAGGAATTGTATATAAGTGTGAGTTTTGAATCAGTAGCTGTAAGACCCTGGTCACGGATCCACAAGCTCAACTAGGAGTATTTAAGACTCCAAAATTTTCCCCACCAAACTTTTGCAGAGCCTTTGGTTCTTAGTACCTTGAGATAGCCTAAAGAGAAGCAGCTACATACTTACATACTTTTCTCAGAAGACACTTTTAATTTTACAAGGAAATAAGGATTCTGGCAAAAATTTAATGGGGTAACATACAACCAAGTAGACCACTCCACAAAGCACTGACGCAGCACACCCCAACCCACAGAACTTTGTGAAATCGAACCCACTAGTTTTAAGTTAACCAACACATTAAGTCAGACAAGAGTAAGAAAGACAGAGATTAGGAGAGGAAACAGGAGACAATAGCTACCACCAAAGAGTCCCACGGAAATCTGGCTCCATAAGACCGATGGCAGGACCCAAGAGAAAAGGGAAAATGAAGACCACGTGCTCCTTTATTTGTGTGCTTTGGCCACTGTGGCTGCCCCTCCTAGGTGGGACATCCCACTGAGCACTCAGTGCCTCCCAGAGGGAGTGAAGGCTGGTGTAGCCAGTCAGAGGCTGAGTTAGGGGTTCCAGGCAGTGTGATGTGGGCAGGTTCCCGGGCAGCCCTTTTGATTGACAGCTGCTCTATGAGGCTACCCTGTGAGTTCTGAGGCTGCTGTTCACCACAGGCACAGAGTTGGTTCCAACCCAATAAAAAATAGCTCATATGCTTTGGCTGATATCTTTTATGTCCTCTACTCTAAAGCTTCAGTAGATAGACCAAGACTAAGAAACCGAAGGCTTAATAGCACCTCTGAACACTGTCAGCAGGACACGTATGTCTACATACGCCAGGTATGTATTCCAGTAATGGTTTAGGGCTTTTAGATGGAGCCAGGAAATACATATGGTCCATGACCATATATTCTTGCTATGCTCCTCAATTTCATGTAAGTTAACGTAGAAATGCTGAAAATGATCAAATGACATGTTGCAGCAATTGATGATCATTCCATATAATCAATCATTACCAAAGACAGCTACCAGAACATGCAAAACTCTATGGAATTTGTGGCTTGCTTCTATTAAAGGTACGTGATCTTGCAATATAAAGAAAAATGTGTGCTTTTACTATTTAATAAGTTATAATTTCTCTCTGCTACTTTTAAAGCTTTCAGTATATTACACTTTTAGAGAATAAATAAGGTTATCTGTAGGAGACATGAGTTATCTATAGCAATGTAAGACAAGCTATTTTGTGGTATACCTTTTCTCTAAAATTTGCTTTTTGTTTTTGAGTCTGTGTTGAGGATGGGGGAAGAACAGTGATCTTCAGTGTTAGTAGCCCTTTGCATTAAAAAAAATAAAAATGAAATATATGATACCTAAAACATTCTCTTCTTACAGACATTTGGGAAATCTTCCTATAATTTTCTTGACTTTGCTGAATTTTGGTTTGAAAGTCTAGATGTAGACAGAGACCATCGTGGTTTGAGAGAGTTATTATAAGAACACAAAAACATGTAATTAAAAAAGATTTCAATCAAACCAATGAAGAGAGGGAAATTATTAAGCAGCAGACAGGAACATCCAGGGCAAGAAGATATAGATTGAACTCTTATTTGAGCCCATTCCTCTTCTTGACTTTCACAAATCTGAGGCCAAAGAGTTATTTATAGTGCTTAGAGAAATCTCTTGTAAGCAAAGGTACAGTAATTTTTCCTTGATTGAAAAAGTCATCCTTTGTTTGCCATTTTCCTGGAATCTGGAGTCTCAGTGCTTGCACTCCTGTAGTCATTTTAAACAGAGCAGTTAACACAACATTCCCATTTTCCATCAAATTCTACAAGATACCAATGAATGCTAATCAGAATGCTGCAGGGAGCCCATTGCTGTATCTTTGGGCACACTTACCACCTACATAGCCTATCACAAGCTTCCCAAACACAAGATATCACAGGATGATCCAGCTTTATACAACTGGTCTAAAATGCCATTAAAGGCTAGGATACCTCTCCTTCTTTGAAGAGCAAGTGGTAAAGAGTTTGCTAAGAATATTCACTTCCTTAATTTTTGGTACTACAGTCTTTCTTAGCTGATGGATAATTTTGTAGTTTATGGTAGTCTATGAAAGGCTTTAGACTAAAATTTTGACCAAAAAACCAGAGCTTGCTAAAGTATATGTGAGACACTGACACATCTACAGAAAACTATACTACAGCATTTGGAAGACTATCGCATCAAATATCTGTTATATTCATGTGTCCAGAATGGGCTTAATGTTTTATAGAGAAAATAAAAGCAAGCACAGCAACCCAGCTCAAGAACTCAGTTGTAATTCCTATAGACTCTTTTCTTTAAAGTGAATTTAGTGCACATGAAGCATACTGGATTGACAGGGAGCAGGAACCTTGCAGAGAACAACTTTATTTCTATTGAAGGACCTTGGTTTTGGTATTAGAAAGTCTTCTGTCACACAGTTTTAACTCACAAGAAATTACCAAATGAAGAAATGATGATTTCTTTCAAATGTTAGCCAGGATTCTATTAATCAAAAAAAATTAGAGATGGGAAAAAAAGAACGATTCATGATGCTATTGTCATTTTATTTTCAATTTATCAGTGATTGTGTCATGAAGTAATATAAATGATAATAATGTGTTGTTATGACTCTGTGTGTCATTTGCATTGTGTGACATTCCGAATTTTTCAATTTGAGTGTTTAGAACAGAAAATGTTGTCTTTGTTCATGTATTGGCAACTACCTGCTGGCTGAGTTCCCTGTAAAAACACATCTTCTGGCATATCTTCAGTTAAAATTATTCATTCATTTATTTACTAGAATTTGTGCCCTCAAGCCTTTATAATTATGGGTATATAGCCACACATTAAGACCTATTCATGAATGTACTATGCAATTCATGTGTACCTGAAGGCCCACAGATGAGGCAGTGCTACACACATTAATATATTCTGCATTGTATGTATTCATAAATATAGGGTTTCTGATGGCAGGAAGGACAGCATACTTCATTTTCATGAGTTAGGAATGACTGCATAACTCACAAGTGGCAGAGCAAAACAAAGCCACTAATGGATTCTGTACAGTCATCCCCACTGGATGAAAATAAAATTACATTACACTGTCCACCATCACATATTTATACCATATCAGAGACTTATGTCTACAGAGTAACTAAATTTTTGTTACCCTTTGCTGAAGAAATTAATATCATTGATGAAATATAAAGACATATTGCTGGGGTTTATTTCCCACTGGCAGGGTCTAAATATGTAATTCATACAAGTAAACACACACATACACGCACATTAATAATGCAGTGGTTTTCCTAGTCCATTTCTGAGAACTACTGCAATGAGTTCATCTGTCCCACGGATATGATGGGATTTATGCTCCTTAGATTTATACAACTGGGGTTTTAAATCTTTTCATTCTCTGAATGTAATTCTGGAGTTGCTGTGGTGTATGAAAAACAACACACGTAATCAACTTACAATGAAATAGAATTAGGCCTTTGTCCCTCATTTAGCATATTTACCACCTTTCTCACTTAAAGGACAGCAAACAGTAATAGCAACAATTAAGCCAAGACTGAGACACCTACAACATCTGGAAATAGGTCTCTGTGTTGTTGCTGGATACAAATGGTCATGAATACAGTAGCAATCAAAGGAAATCAAAAAAATCATCTCTGTGATGTTGTTGAATAGCAGGATACAATAAGTTGCACATAAGAAAATAGTTGTAGATATGGAAAAATTAAACTGCATCATTGTAAATCTCTATTCTAGGCTTTTCTGCTGTTGCCCTTTCGAATTGACTGTCCTACTACTCACATCAGCAACAAGCCCCTTTTCCATTTCTAAACCTACATAGCTATCTCACCTTATTCTGACATCCTAGATTTTCTTCCTTTAAAGTTCTTACTTTCCTTTAGAAACTAGTAAGTATTCCAAAAGTGTCATTAGCCTGGCTAAGTAGATTTTAGAGAATGTGAGTGGTATCTCAAACAAGTTTTTTCCCAATTTTTACAATTGAAAAGGAACCTAATAGTAAATAAACAGGTGGGACAGAAGATCCAGTTAAATTCAAAGAAGTCAAACATCAATTTTTACCAAGTTACTTTTTCTTTTTTTTTTTTAAACATGAGCAGAAAAACAAAATAGCCAACTCTCTGAAAAATATTTTTCAACAATATCTTCAATTTTTTTTTTCCAAGTTAAAGGGTCATGTTAAATCTGGAGATCTAAGTGTTTGTAACCAGAAAGTGCATACACTGTTTTAAAAGTCACAGAACTGGACAGCCTTGTATAGCAGGATGCATACCAGGCTTTTAAGATCTTACCATGAAAGGGTATCTCATTGTAACTAACATATCATCAGATATGATAATTGATAATATGATATCAAATCAGATAATTACTCTGATGAAATAACTTTTAAATTGCTGCCTGTTTTTACTGAACGGATGCTCTGCAGCTCTCTGAAACACTGGCTAGACAACTCTTTTTGTTAGTTATCGTGTTTTTCTTCTGCTCACAACTATATTGACTTCAGTGTGTTGGTAGGTATTTCTTTACATCAACATAAAAGAGAACAAAACATGTTTTGCTCCACAGATAATTTTTGAACAATATGGAGAAGAACATTTTAGCTTGCACAGGGGAATAAGACAGCACATAACTTGGATAAAAATTGGCTCACCAGTATGAGAAGACACAGAATACTTCTTTTTTATTTTTTTTATAAAGGGGTTAATATATATAATCCCATTCTTCCCACTCAGGAAGGAATTGGTTTTTGTAATTTTGGCAAATTTACCACCTCTTATATACTAAAAACGCCAAACAAACAAAAAATCATGCTGTATTAAAGTACGTATGGAATATTATCTTCTGCTGAACAAATACTCTAAAATCTGATGCTATATTTTATAGCAAGAACTTCTGAGGCAATATCAAAGTAATGTTGCAACTGTGGAACTATGGAAGTTCTAATGATATAATTCCTCTTGATTCTGCAGAGTTTCAGTGGCATAAACAGATTGGTTCTCTGCCTTCTTGTCCAACAGAGACAGAAAGTAACTTTCAGCTTTCCAAAATATTCACGTGAGGGAATGAAGTTTGGCATAAAAAATTTATCCTTTATCCTTCTCCTTTCTGATCTTACTTCTTTTTTCTCTTCTCTTCCTTTTTTGTCAAGAAGCAATTTGGTTTGCAGAAATAGACTGGTTTAATAAAACTGGTATTCTTCCTTCTACTAAAAGTTTACCTGCGAGAGCCCCAAACATAATAAAATCAGATTATGAAGGCAGTCATATTTACTTGTAATAAATCAAATCTTGCAGACATCAGTTAAGTCTCCCCTACTGCACTGGGGCAATATCACGCATGCATACAACAATACCTGAGGTGTCAGAAATATATTTCATAAGTTCAGAAAAATTGCATACACACTTGCAGCACCATTATAAGCAGTGAATTTGTAATGTGAACATTATGATGTATAAAGTGGCTTTGTTCCTACATTTAATAAGTACCACATGCCAAGCCCACAAGCGTAATGGAATTTGCTGGTGATTTACCATTAGATATAGGATATTGTTTTCAGGAAGAGAACTTTTCCACACTTTTTCAACAGTATCCAATTTTAAGAAATCATCTTCTTTCTCTTCTCTGAATGCAGCACATTCTTTAGATTAGTGAAATAAAATAAAATCCCAACCAGTGATATACTCTATTAAGTTTAACTGAAGTAAGTGCAAGACATTTCCACTTGCAGAGAAAATGTTTCCTTCAGACTATCTCTGCCGAACATACGTCTTTATTATTCTAGTTTTGGTATAGGTTAGGATGCTGGAAACATCTTACTAAGGTACGCTATGCCAGCCCAACATAAGAGCTATGGTATAACACTCATGCGCACATATCAAGTATTTTCCGTTGTTTTCTGACTTTGTATGATTCGTTGACACATCACAGATATTTTCAGTCTAAATAATAGAGGAAAACACTTTTTTCCTTTTTTTTCTTTTAGAAATTGATAAAATGAGAAGACTTGTATTCCAAGTCTCTGTTGATGTACATTTAGATGAAGAGTAAGTATCTTCTTTCTGCATTTCAGTACTATCCATTAGAAACATTTTGCTGAAAGAAAGTGTTCTGGTTCTGGCCAGGACAGGGTTAACTTTTGCAGCAGGCAGAAGGCAACATTGTTAGGACCGGCAAGGTTATTCTATGCTGATATGGTTTGAAGCTGGCTCCCTGCCAAGTCCCCAAACCTCACCACAAGACTCCCCCCCCACCCCCGCTCCCAAACCAAGGGAGAAGAGGGAAAAACAACCTCAAGAGAACCGAAACAAGAGAGAGACAGCTAAAGCAATATATAAAAATATATTTACACCTATATTACAGTTATATACAATTGAAATATATACACAATTTCACAAGGAAAAGGGAAAGGGAAGGGAGAAGGGAAAAAAGGAACAAAACCAAAATAAAATATATATATACTCCGATCAATAGGTCAAGATCTAGCAACTAAAAGAATGAGCAAAAGAATATATTACTGCTCTCCTTGGGACAACAGAAGGTTGCGTTGGAACGATCGCCAGCAACCTCCGCCTCTCAAGGTCGGCAAGGCCTTACCAGGCCTCACTCCCCAACATGACAGATTCAACAGCAGGGAAACCCACACCTCCAAAGTCACCAGAAGGAAAGAGGGGCAAAAACCTCTCCTCCTTTCTTCTTATACCCTGGCTTACGTAAAAATCAGAGGGAATACTGGGTAAATCTGGGCACTTCCTTGGTTACAAACTGGTCACCAAAGAAGGCCTAGACTAAACTACCACATATGCCTTCTCACATCATTTTCCAGGGATGTGGGAAGGGGTCCCTTCCAATCAAGTAAGTGTGGTGGAGGGAGCGGCCGTATAGCACTGGTTCCCTTTGTTACTGATAGTGTAACTGTTACTGTTCATTTTCTTATTCCACTGCCGTTTTCCAGTAATTTGTTTTTATCTCAGCCCATGATCTTTACCCTTTGTGACTCCAATTGTCCTGTCCATCCTGCTGCAGGATGAGAGGGAGGGGGAATGAGCAAGTGGCTCACAGTTTAGTGTTTCAGTGGGAACACTAAATTGGGGAATACCATTCCTAAACCACGACAGAGGGTAAATTGCAGTATTTGAATATCAAGTTGCAGACATCTTGAATACTGGACCGTGGAAACAACTTTCCTTGAACAAGTCTACCTTGAGTAAAAGGTTCTTTAACATGTACACTTAAAAAAATCTCTGGGGACCATAACTCTATTGGGTGACCTGAGCCATTAATATTTACTAAGACAAAAGGAGGCTGTGGACAGTTGGACTCTAAATTTTTGTTGGGTTTATAATGGGAATAAAGAAGTAGTGTGCTATTTTCTTCCTTGAAAGTGCTAGTTTGCATTGTCCTAATAAGACCATTCATAGTTTTGTAAAGTTTATTAAATGTTGCAACTTTTTCTTAAGCAAGTTTACTCTGTAGTATTTGTGTGTTTCCCAGCAGAGCTCATGAGATCAAATTTAATTTGTAGAGGTTCATATTGCCAATGACTTCTCGTTCTGTTTTTGTTTCCCTTTTCCATATGAAATTGCTTGAGGGTATGTACAGCTCTGTTCTCTAACTATATATATATATATATTTTTTTTTTTTTTTTACACTGAGCAACATTAAAGTAATCCATTATTTAAAAGAATTGGTAAACTTTATTCCTAGAAAGACACCATTTCTAAACCCCAGTTCCTCTAGTTTAAGTCTAGATTTCCACAGGCATTTGTTTAAGGTAACATTTGTCAGTCCACATTCCCTGTTCACCACGCAGCTATCTTTTGGAGCCACCATTCCTTCTCCAGTGCTCCCTCAGCTGTCTCAACGCAATATTTGCATAGTCTGGTATAAGGGAAGAAAACATGATTTCAGATGACCTTGAGAGGTTTCTGATATTTGACTGATCATTTTCCCAGCTAGATACACCATTCTGGCACAAGTGAGAGAGGGGGAAGGAGGGGAGCCACTTGAATTGTATTTGTCACTGGCAAGAGTGCCCAGGAAACATCTCACCATGGATAACATCACTGTCTGAAACAAGCAAACAGGAAAGACCATGCCACTGTGGTATCTGTGGTTCTTATTTATGTGGTGAGCTTGGGTACAATGCAAGAAGAGACAAAACACATGAAAAAATTCCAGTTCCTGTTTTGAGAAACACAATAGATCACATCCTTAGAACTTGAGAAAAAAGTAAAAAAATGTAGGAACAATGAAAATACAATGAAGCCTTAAATACATTTTCAGGTCTAGTTCCCTTGATTCATAAGCGTTGACAAATTTCACAGCACTCCTGTGAAGCATTACGTTGCTAGAACTACATATAATATTTTAGGCAAAATTTGGGGGTTTTCGGAAAAGTTCAGATTTTGAAAGACAAATATTCTACTGAGAGATATTTAAAAACTAACTCCATTTGTTCTTAAAAACTTAAAATTTTAAGTTTGTCCTTACTAAATGTAATATTAGCAATTTTTAAAAAAATTGCAAAATCTTGTTTAAATGTTAATATTTAATTCAACATTATAGGGTACATTTAAATATTCAAAATCTAGGTGAAATATCTAAAAAAGCATTTTAAGATCATTTTGATCTACTTTTTTTGCTCTTTAACTTGTTGAAAATATGATCTAATTAGTCCATTATCTTAAAGGAGTACCAAAGATGATGTTATTATTACCATACAGATTTTACAAATGATAAATCAAGATTCACGGAGAACAGAGCCTAAACGATTGAAGAGTCCATCAGTATGGTGTAACCAACTTCAAACATAGTGACTTGCTTTTCCAGAGTGTATAGCTTTTTAAAAATGTTGGTTCCATCAATTCAGTTGCACATGTGAGTGATCAGCATTTCTAGGAATCGAGATCTAGGAATCTTAAATTAGTATCAGAAAATGAGGAAAATACACTCAATTAAACCCCTGGAGATACGGTGATTCAAAACTCTTGTGCAAGATCAAGTACGAACTCAGAGAAATGTAGAATAAGGCGTTCATTGAAGAACAACTATCTCTCCCCTCCCCTCTCCCTTTTCCCCTTTTCTTCCCTTCCCTTCCCAAAACTTCCCAAACCTTCCCTTCCCAAACCTTCCCTTCCCAAACCTCCCCTCCCCTCTCCTCCCCAAACTTTCTCAAACCTTACCTTCTTTTGGGCAAGGAGGTGTTCATCCATTGCTAGGATAGCAGGGCTCCATCACATGCAATGGTTACGTGGGAAGACAAACTCCATCACTCCAAATATGCCCCTTTTCCTCCTTCTTCCCCCTAGCTTTATATCCTGTGCATGAAGTCACACGGTCTGAAATATCCCTTTGGTCCATTTGAATCACCTGTCCCAGCTGTGTCCCCTTCTAACCTCCCATGCACCCCCAGGCTCCTTGCTAGCATGGCAGTACAAAAGGTAGAAAAGGCCTTGGCCCTGTGTAAGCCCTGCTCACAAGTAACAAAAACATCTCTATACTATAAACCACCTTGTAATTGCTCCAACAGGAACAAGCAAGGTTTCACCTTTCTCTGGGCAAGAATCAAATGGAGGTGGAGTGTCACATGGGCAGACAAAGAGGGAAGTAGGGATTTCTTTTCCCTGTCTGGCCATTGACATAAAGTACATTGAAAGTGAGTGTAACTTCCCTTCAGCAGTGAGAAAATCCTGCTGTGAAAGGCAGTGCCTGTGTAACATAATATAATAATAAAAGACATCTGGTCATCACTGTGGAAAGAACAGAAGCAACAATGGAAACTATATCAAGACTGAGTTATTTAAAATTTCTCATAGGCTGACATGCTTCACTTCTTTTTTTTTTTTGGCTCAATAAGGACAAAGGGGTAACTAGCAAATTCAAAATCATTTCAATTCATCTTGCATTAATAAATAACTTGATTCATTAGTCCTTCATTTTGTATCATCTGATGATGATTGGAATCAACACTATCAGAGTTGTCTACTCAATAATGTCCCAATTGTTTTTTTTTTCTCTGTATTACTATCAATAGAAAACAATAGTAAAATTCTGGCTGAAAGCAGCCCCTCGTAGTTTCCCTGTGGAAACACTATGGAGAATTTACAGCCTCAGGACTTGAAAATTCTTCCTGTCCTGCAGGACAAATTCTATTGCATAATGTCATTTTGCCGTAAAATAAATGAAACATTTCCTTCCTTTAGGCATAGATGAATATTAGAGTACAGAATGTAAGCTCACAGAATCAGTTTTTCATTTAACAGAATTCATGCCTTCTTTCCATTAAAAGAAATTAACGCTATGCAGAGTTGGAATACATAAAGCTGTACGAAGCCATGGTCTGTGTCATTAAGACAACCAGAATAAAAATATTGCAAGGAGAGAGATATGCTGTGTGGACTTACAGTTTAGGTGCCATATGCAAGTGGCTTTGTCTCTGAGATAGAGTTGGGAAGGGCTATTGTAAGAATTGAATTAAAACGCTGAAAATAAAAGGAGTTATTGGTCTGGGCAGGGGGAATTTCAGGATAAATGCACAGGCATTTTCATATGGCAACAATATGTCAATGCACTGAAATTTACTGCTTACTATTCTAAGCATCCACACAGCAAATGCTCTTGAAACAAAAATGATAACTTGGGATAATGGGAACTTGAGCACAGGGCAATTACAGTCACCAATGAAGTAAACCAGCACTCAGAATTCAAGACTTAAATAAGCTTTCTTGGGAATGGTCCAAACCTTTTACCCAGAAGACTTGCATATGAAAACAATTTGGGAAGCTGATCCTCACATCCTCTCAGCTGTTACCTAGTAACTAACTGCGTGAGTGCTTCTATTCCACTTTACAGCAGACCTGCACAGCCTAGCTCAAATGGCTCTTCCAGACAACCAGAAAGCCCAGGCAAGTAAATGGCGTTGGTGCGTAACCAAGGCATTTGGTGGATGCTCAGGAAGGAGCATACATGCAAAAAGTATTGAATTCCAGGAAATTGCAGGGAGAAGTATTTGATTCTTATTATCAGGAGGAAATTTCTATTGTGGAATTAGTGTTGCCTAGCTCAAGGCAGTGACTAATTGCTTCTTGGAGAAAGCTGTCACTATCCTTCAGCTGCGGACATGTAGGAGCTATTTATACCTTCTCATCAGTGGTCATCTTCATCAGCAGTGATTGCTTATTTATGGAGATAAGCTGCCACTGCTGACCAGCTGCTTCACGCTATGGCTACTCCTGTTAGATAAGCAATCACAACAGAGCAATAGATCATTACTGAAACTGCAAGTGCACAGGTATTTACAGCAATAAATTTACCACATAGCAGTATCTAAATATGATCAGATGGTACAACTGCCACATCCATACTCCTCTCTAAATTTTGTTCTTCTATCCCTAAACTCCCTCCTTACCCCTCATTCCAACATCTTCTAACTGTCATAGCTACCCTTTCCAGGCACACTCTTCCCTGCATTTGTGCTGCCATCTCCCTAAGCCATGCCCAGCATGTGAGGAGCCAGAACCCTAGGCAAGCTGGTGTCAATGCCTAGTGCAGGGGATTCAGCTGGATGGCTGGGGTAAGACAGCCTCCTCTGGAGGCCCATGGAGGCTATTGTGTACTAGGGGAGGTGAGAATGCCAAGGACTGTGAATGGGTGCAGTACTTTGACCAGGACCCATATGTCATGGCATACATAACACAGTTATTCAAGCAACGTCCTGGCAAAATAGTGTAGTTACAGCTGCCAAACTCAGTGTTGTTGGGTAATTGCCTAAGCTGGTGGCCACAAGGAGTTCAGAAGCCCAGAGATGTCAAACAGCTTGAACACGTTTGCCTATGACAGTGTACTTGTCTCTTTTGTTGTACTTGTGGACAATATTTACTATTTGGTCCTAACCTTCATTCATTCACAACCTGACTGTAACTTTTTTTTTAATGACTTCTGTTTTATAATTGAGCCTCTTCTATTTGTAGACCTGGCACTTTCAGGAAATGACCTGAAGAGTTTAAAGTTTGTTCCCAGAACTAGTAAAAAATTTAGAGTTAGAATCATAATTTACACAAAATCCTGTTAAAAAGTTGCTGCTGTGCTCATAACCATTATTTTCTCCGTTTGTTATTGCTGTATTATCATTCCCAGCTGCCTGTACTTTAAAGAAATGAATAAGTTTTGGCTTCCAAAATCTTAAAAACAATTGCCTTAGTCATGGTGATGAATTCTGCCTATGCAGTCCTCACATATCTCAGAGTTCTTTTGGACTTGACCACTCCAGAACTGAACAAGAAAATGAGCTTTTGACACTGTTAGATAATTACATGGTGAACATCTTCAGACAGACAGAAAGACAATGTTGCTCTTTCCTCCAAGATTGTTTGATGTTTTGCCATTGATTTAATTCAGTGTGGAACAAACCTGTTGTCTTTTATTTGAGAGGTGTCATGAACAATTTTATATTTAATAAGTAATTGCCTAATGTTAAGTATATCATGTAACCCAGCTAATTTTCTACAAGTTGCCCTCTACCTCTTGAAGGTTTTTATTTTGGCAATTTGTGTCTTTATTTCTTACTTTTTTCTCCTGATTTCAAAGGTCTCTTTTTCTAGACAGAGGTTTGTTACAGATTTTGTTTCCTTATAGTCCATTATTTAAATAAGCTTTCTTATTCACTACAGTTCTGGCAATAAACAGTGTTTCCCTGTTTCTCTTTTATCTCCTCTGGATGTGGTCACAATGATTCAAATGGAGACAGACAGACTTTAAGGTGGTTCTGACACAATTTTCTTAGTCGGGAGGTAACACAAACCAGGCTTCCCTATTGTACTTTGCTTCTTTCTATATATGAAGTACAATATCTACATAATGGTTTAAAACAGGAGCAATAAAAGCAAGTGACCCTATAGTCAAGTATATATTGCTTTCTAAATATTCATACTGAATCAATAAAATAGAAAGTATGGGCCAACTGCGGCTCGAGCTGTAGTGAAAAAGAAAAGAAATGACTGAGCAAAGGTTATCTATTGCATTTCACGCGGGGCTTGATTTGTAACAGGAGAGGGTCAAACACATAGAGGAGAAGGATCACTGACATATTCTAAACTGCTGCAGTGGAGAGGTGTCAAATGTTTTCTTGCTCATTAGCTAGTGAAAACCATACTCTTCAAGATATGAGAGAAGGTGAACCCACTGTAAGCACAGAGCTCATTGCTGAGGCTTGGATTCCAGACCCTGCTATGCCTCTGAGC